GACCAGTGCTGAGTAGCTTATTAACATTGTCATTGCAACCTTTCTCTACTTTAGATGTAGGGTCTTTATTGATAACCTTGCAAGAGGGATCATTATCAATCAAATTATTGTGGTCTTAACATAATGACGGTAACATTGCCTTTGTCTGATTTTGTAACAATTAACTCGGGATGATCTTTAATAAATTTCCTTGTTTTATTTAACAGGTTGTGGTAGAAACAGTGTTTTTTGTTGATGCTACTCTTATGAAAGTAACTTGTGATAATATTGGTGGAACGCGTTATCGCAATGTTCCTTTCTGTGTCGTCACTAATGGAAGAAAATATAGAATCAACATCAGTCAGAATATGTCTGACTTATATATATATATATATACAATTACTTGTTAATTGGGAAATTGGCAAAACTTTTAGGCTTAAGTTGACTCTTTTGACGATAAAATCAAGCTTTCGGCATTCTCTATGGAGCCATCATCAGGATTCTGAAAACACAATTGTGATGCTAGCAAAGAAGACAGATTTAAAATGTCAGACAACTTACTCATCGGTGAGGTTGCAGCCACAAGGTGTTTCAGAAAGAACGTAGAGAAGATCGAACTTGTGTTCAGTATAAAAACAAAACAAAAGGACGGGGACATTGGGCTTGTTAAAAAACGACGATATATATATATATATATATATATATCTTTGAGATTCTTAAGATGGTTGATCTCTCGAAATTTTAGTTACTCAAGAGGCATGCGGTTTCCTGAGACACTCACAGTGCCTCTTCAAAAAACCTGATTTTTTCATAAATGCTTCACATACAACGCTGTACAATTTATAATGAAGTATCTCAGGCATTAAGATCACTAAGTGACAGTGAATTGAAAAAACAAATTGAACAATTGCTTTTGGAAAAGTACTCAACAGCATAGTTTTGCAAAAGCCCTCCTTTTCGGTGTACATTCATAATTATGTGTAATTAAATTTTTATCATCTATTGTGACTACAATATTCATATACTTAGGTATATTGCTTTTACGTGATTGTGATTGTTATTGTATATTTTGTATTCCTCATGGAATAAGTGGCAGTATAGCTCCAAGCTAAACTTCTCGCTCAATAAAAGACGTCTAATAATATCATATATTATTCAATATAATTTAGAAAAGGGTCTAATTTTTCCACAGCAGAAAATTCATCAAAATATAATTTTTATATAAAAATGAGTCAGAATGTAATGTAAATTTTCACGGCAGCTTGGGATAGAACGAGAGTATTCTTTTTGCTAATATAAAGCATATACTTTTTTAATACAAAAGTTCACCAACTTTGCAATATTTAAAAAAACGGAATTATTTTTTTAAACGAACTTTTCCTCAGATATTTAAACCAATATCTCTCCAAGTAGAGAGCATTGACAAATAATTCTAAGCTGAGAGAATTCATCTACAATTGAGTATCCTATTGAAAATATAGCTGTGAGTATTTTGCTGTAAGGTAAGGAAATGAATCAATATTGGTTATGCTCTTCATACCATGAATACTAAATATTGAAACAAAATGTTTATCCATTCCGAAGGGATATTGCTTCCCACGCCACTGGCGAGGAAGTATTTCCGTCGCTGTGTCTCTCAGTGTACCGGTCTGTTCCACATAAGGTTAATAAGTAAGAGGAAGGAAGCACTGCTAACGAGGTCTCGGTTCCTCTGAAATTATATGCTGACTTGTAACTTTGAATTTCAGTGGATTGGGCTAATTTGCGCTTCATAAGTTAGCTCCTTTCAAAAAAGTTGTCTAGAAGTATAACAACAAAGTTGAGTGGATCAGGTCAGTCAAACAGGCTCCTATATTAGCCCATAGTCCGCACAGATTAAACAGTATTGCGATCCAGCTTACCGCCCTACCAAGTTTCTCGCAAACCTAGCAGGACATTGCATATACGTATACGCTCAGTCAGGCATACGCTCGTAGAAAGTACAACTTTGCCGATCAACTCTTAAGGGCTCAGGGAAATCTATACCGTTTAAAACATGCTTAATAGGGGTGTATAATTACCGGGTATGAAAACGTATAAATTGCTACCACCAAAAAATTGAGATAATCTCTCTCCCACCCCCTACAACTCCCACATCCAATTTGTAACCCCTGCAATTTTTTATGAAAATGATCTAGGTCATCTGATAGACCCTTGCTAGACCGACAAACGGACTTGCAGACCAATAGAAATGAGTGACATGGTTTTTCATGGAGTACATGTCATCCAACATCCAAAAATATAACATAACATTTTTCGCGATTAAAATACTTTCTCGAAAGTGGTGTACGAAGTAAGACGAAAAAATAAATCGCCCAAACATCGTTACTTGAAGTTCCAGGAATTAGAAATCGGGGGCTAGGGGTGGGAGCGATTTATCTCATTTTCTTGGCGTTAGTATATTTATGCGCTTCCAGCCTCAGTAATTCTAGCCACCTATTAGTCATTTCTCAAACATTGTAGACTTGCCCGTACATTCGCCCTTATTGCTTGACGAATGAGAGAAATATTTTCAACTCACACGTCCCACGCGAATATATACCTAGCTGCTTCGAGGGCTCACCGATTTCTGAGAGATAGGAGGCGGCAGCTTCATGCTGGGTTGGAGAGTTCAGAGGTTAGTCACAGCAACGTTGCCAGATGGTCAGTAATATCTGTGGGGTCTATGAACTAAGTGTTTGACTGACTTGATCCACTCAACTTTTATACATACTTGTACGTGGTCTTTTTTGAGAGGGGCAAACTTATGCCGAATGACTGCATTGTGTAGGAAGTGCACCGTCAACCTAGTTGCCTCCTTCGCTAGAAATATCGGTCTCATGGCTACTATTATTTAACATAAAATCGCTGCACCGCTGGACTGCTTTAAGTTTTCTGAATGGGCCTTTTGCTTTTTGGCAACAGGCGAGTTTTAGTTGTGAATCGATAAAAACGATGTTAAAAGCACCCACAACTGAACTCAATGCATTTGGAGCAGGCTGGGGGGTAGATAATCCTACTACAACACCTTTCTCTGAACAAAATTTGTTATAAAATGCACTTGAACCGCATGTAGAAGTTCAATTAGACCACAGAATCCATAACTACAAAATCAGTAAAATTCAGTGATGACTTTCCTTCCTCTTGATGTATCCTCCTTGCTCATTCTGTCTAGCACCTCGAGGAATAAACAAGGCAGATAGACCGATCAACAAATTCCTAGCAAATGGTTCGCCCTGGTATAAAATGACGGAATGGTAATTTAGTTTTGTCTGATGGGCCATTCGGTTCCATCGTACACAAAGTATTTTATGACGCTGAGTTGATTGTCCCCTCTATAAATACTGCACAAGTTAAAACACAGGACATGTTATATAACATGACAAACACCCGAGATGACATATTACTCCTGACCGCAGATATAATTATCGTTCACCGCTGCCCACCTTTGTAAATGGTGGGTGACAAATAAAATTCGAATTGGTGTCACTAAATTAACATCCTAATAAAAGTGATAAGCCATTATATCAAAACGCAAAATGATAAAAGTCAATTCAATTCATTTAGTGTCGAGCTCATTTTTAACAAGGTAACAAAGAATTCCTGTATTTGCGATAGATGTTGTCTCACTGCTGACTTGAATCACATCTGTTTTAAGTTTAGTGATTCTTCAAAATTCATGCCGATGTTCTGGTTAAGGCTCCACTTGGCGAGTTGACGAACATTTACCAATTAATTTATTCCTAATTGTCAGAGAATCTCATTTAGCGTTATCATGTTTTATTGAAATATTATTTATGAGCTGGTTTATATTTATAAATTCACGACATATATTTTAAATTCCTCATTGTTTTTACCCGACTTCCTCTAAAGGAGGATTTTTATCCGCGCGTCGGTATGTATGAACACAAAAATCAATTTCAGGGGCTACATTCAGAACGGCTTGATGAATTTTGAGATATGAGTTGTTTTTAGATTTGTCTTGTGGACGAAATGTGATAAAAACATAAGGATAGACTTTAATCCAAGGCTATAACTTAAATATTTCTATTCCACGATTTTATAAAACCGAAGTAATAATAATTTGTTTAGGGCGAAATTTAGTAACAAGCTTCTCCACCACTTAACCCTCAAAAAACTAGTACTAGAATATTGAAAACAATTTAACAAAGTATTCTTCCAAAATGTAAATGTAAATTACAAATTAAATACATCAACAGGTGTGTACAAAAAAACTATGTAAGATTGATATAATATGCAGAAATATGAGGAAATATGGATGATCTATACGTATATATTGAGATGTAATTCATATTTGAGCATCAAAGATTATCTGTTTTTTGAACTGAAAATCAAGATGTTTTGCAGTCGATCGTAATGCATTTATGAAATAACGAAGTTTTGTGAGGATGCATAGTCAAAGTGTTAATAAATCTAATATTTCGTGAGTGGGTATACTTACAAGATATCAATTTATTTAAAAAAAATGAAGGGTTATAGATGCAAAATTTGACTTCCCATTCTATGCCTTTTTAGGGGCTACAGTCCAAACGGCATAATATATTTTGACATTTGAGGTGTCCTTAGTTTCATCTTTTTAGCACAATTAAGACCTCTTCATTTAATGTAATCCGGTTTTTGTATTTTTAAAAAATATGATTTACTACGTCTATGGTCTTTTAGTAGCCTCTTTGAGATTAATTATACCGAGTGTTTCATATTCCTCATGATTGAGATCTGGAAAACTGCAAGAGATGGGGTCAAAGTTGCGTATTTAGGTATTTAACAAAATACAGCTTAGAAAGTGTCAAAATTCAGAGTATTCTGGTGCTAATTACATGTCTTCTGGCAAAGAACAAGAATAGGTGAGGTAAGGTCAGTTTACTGTTCAACTAAAATATTCCCCATGCACGTTCAAAAATGGCAAATAAATACGAAAAATAATATACGTGATATATGCAATCCACCCACCTTAACCAAACATCTGAAATATTGGGGTAGCGTCAAAGACGGACATACACCTGAACGGAACTTGTAAGTTCGCGAGACGCACCTCCGTTGAGACGGACGCCACTGGATCGCCGTCTCGTGCTAGCGTCGCGGGCGTCGGACGATAACTGCTGCAAGTTGGTCCATCGGTACGGAAGCTGCTGTACAGTTGTATGTGCGAACTTTAGCGCATTCATTTCCAGAGACGTGTCCGCAGAGGATGGCCTAGTGGCTGGCGCCGGGTGTTTTCTACATTTTGATAGAGTGGTATGTCTTACTAACGGAGGGAATATCGGGCAAAAATTATATCAAGGAAACTAGCTTCAAGCTTTACATGCAGCAGGATTACGTAACTCCTTCTTGGGACGCGACTATAGAGGACCATATCTTTTACCCTTTTGAGGAAATGTGGTATGTGAGATCAAAGGAAAGGAAGATGTAAAAGCAAGGGCGATTGCGGAATTTGTGTCAGGGGAGGGTCGCAGCAGTCATGCTCAAGAAGATATTTGTGTGGAGGGGCGGAGGGTGGTGCTATTAGGAATTGAAAAGTGGGGGGCGGCAGTGACCCTACCCGTGCACTCATGCGGTGTAGCCTTAATGTGATTTATTTTTAAATAACAAAATTGATTGATTGAAAAGGACCTCTCTGCTATCGCTACACTAACTGGTAATGTAGCAATGGTACATCAGTACCTACTTTTGATGTTGGGATACATTTAGGTATCGCAATTTTCAATAAGAGTAGGAATCGACTGCGGAATATTCTACACTCTTTGCCATTTTGGCCAGCACAGCCAGTATTCATTCACAATTATCCAAGCATACATTCCAATTTCCAAAAATATTATTTTCAAGTAATTATTTGTATAAAGGTGAAAACAAATATTAGCAATACCTATAGTTATTGGGTTTATGGCTAGTCTCTGGCAAACTAAATGAGTTAATAGTTTTCGTTTTGTTATATCGCCGCCTAAGTTCTAACACAGCGTAACAAAACTGACGAATTCTTAAAATATAGAAAAAAAGGCAGATCTTTGTATTCCCTATCGAATGACATGCATATCTTGATGGCGCCATTTTTTGAGTAACGCGATGTTAAAGCGTTATGTAAAAATTATTTAAGAAAAATCTATTTCCAACAACACCTCCTTCAGGAGCCTATTCATTCGGAATCAAAAGGGGTTTTGCGAATCGAGAGGATCAAATACACTAGTTCCAGAATAGTCCAAAGAGTCACCCATTGAATAGTTGTCCCATATTTGGTGATCATGCTAAGTTACAAACAAAAAGTGTCAAAAACATGAAGGAGTACATATATGTATATGTTTCTAAGCTGATAGATGAAGAGTGCGAGATTTGAACATCTTTACGGTTAGATAACTCAAATGCAATCACTTTTCCCTGATTTTGTCTGTCGAAAGGTATTTTTATCAAATTTGTCCACAACGTTAAAGGCGCGCGCTAAAAGGTTTTTTTATATTCCTGTCTAAGTTTTCAATTAACAGCCTTAATCACAGAATACATGAGGTTCAATTTGTCTTCGTCTTTTCACATAAAAATAACATGGCCGGGAGACAGGTCTGTTGGGATAAGCAATTAGGAATATTCAAAAACAACTTGACCGATCGACTCCAATTTTGTTGTGGTTATTTAGAAGTAAGACACCTTCCGATTTGAATAATTTCAAGTATCTGCATGAAATTATCGTCGCATTAGCAACAAGTGCAAAAACCTGCATTTTGACTCGCTATTCGGCTATAACTGTTTTACTGTTAGTGGGATCGTTTTACGTGTAGCCTCATTCTGTAGGTCTCATATATACCTAAAAATCTTATTTGGTGAGTTTTTTCGTTCCTGCCAACACTTTCATTTAAATCCCGAAAAACACTTTTCTCATTATTTCTTGACCAATAAAAAGTTTTCCCACAAAAATTGGTGTAGGTACCCATATTATGCGCCCGTGGTTTAAATACCTCCTTGAACAACTTGCATCAATAAAGCCAGATTTTAGAATTATTTCGCAAACCAGCGGTATTTTCGTCTAATATGATTAGACTAACAGGTATAGTCTTGAAGACAGGCAAATGGAACGAAAACTTGTAGTAGCGTATTGTAGAAGTTGGTCCCTAATTAAATCATAGTTGGCAGGGTCACCTGTTTGCGCATTATAGGTGCATTTTGATCTGGTACCTTGACTACTATTACACCACATTTTAAGCTTGCTAAACACTATTCTTAAGTGGCCGAGTTATCAATGTTGTAATCATATCGTAACATTGTCCATATCATGAAATTATTAGTTACATTTTATGAAATGGCCAATTAAATTCGGCCATATTGTTAAATCGTCAACGCTTAATAATTTAGTCCTCGACGACTGACCATATCGTATAGGGTGCCAACAAAAACCATATAGTACTCGAGTACCGTGTTATTGTAAAGTATTTTAATCTCACATTCTAGTAACGAATTATTACAATTATCACTCCGGAAAACAACATATGTAGTTAATAGCAGCTGTCATGTTGATACGTGAATAAGGGACTGCCAGTGACTATCGCCGATTAGTGTAATTATTTAATGATTCGATTAAGCAAGCTTAACCTTTACATAAAGCAGCCGGTCGTTTAATTGATCATATCAATAAACAACTTATTATGATTGATCTGGTCAGCGCACATCATTTTTTTTTATATCGAAGCAGCCGCGCAGGCAGAAGCCTAAATGCCGGAACACCGCGGCTGCTATGATGATCCCAAAGATAATACGATTTTTGAACTGCCTAAGGTTAATAGAACTGGGAAAAACTTCCTCTTGTAGATTGTTCCACAATCTCGACACCCTCGGGACAAGGGGGCGGTCGTATCGGCCAGTTCTAGAAGTTCGACACGGTTAGGATGGGGCGCCAAAGTCAGACGGGTCTGTCTGGCAGGCACATCGCGTGGTGGCATCATGGAAGAGAGCTCTGAGGAGCAAAGCCCGTTGGTGTAACGGTAGAAAAGAGCTAGATCGCCGACAGCCCACCGGTGCGAAAGAGTCCCGAGACTGTCTGTTAGAGAAGAGTCATCGATCAGTCGGACCGCCCTCCTCTGGACAGCATCGAGCATGGATAATGTAGTGGGGGCGGCAGCACCCCAAACGTGTGAGCAATACTCGAGGTCAGGCCATATCTGGACCTTGTATAGAGTGAGAAGGTTATGCGGAGAAAAGTACTTCTTAGCCCTAAACAAATAGCCTAGCTTTTTCCCAGCGGCTGCAGCTATTAACGAGATGTGTTCGTGCCAGGTCCTCGGTGATCTGGACTCCGACCAGCCGAAATGAATTGCTCTTTGGCAGAACTCGGCCAGCCATCGAAATCGGGTGAGCGCAGGGACACTTTTTGTTCGTCAACGTACAGTACCGTGTTTTGAAAGCATTGAACTGTACAAGATTGTTGCGTCTCCAAGCAGTGATAGCCTCCAGGTCTCTTGTTAGAGAGAAAGTCATCGCTATTCTTCTTTTTTCCAACTCAGCGGTAGTCACTCTGAAATCCTTCATATAAAGTGCTGTCATCACCGAAGCTGTGGATTGGGTTGATCGTGCAGGAAAGGAGGTCGTTGATATGTAAGAGAAACAGTGTCGGAGCCAAGAGCGATCCCTGGGGAACACCCGCGTTGACGTTGTGGGATGAAGAGGAGAACCCATCAATTACGACGGATATCTTGCGGCCAGAGATAAAGTCAGCCACCCATCTGCAAAGCTTTTCTGTGAGGCCATAGGATGGAAGTTTTCTTAAGAGGGCAGCGTGCCACAGCTGATCGAACGCTTCCGTGATGTCAAGAGCAACGACATGAGCCTCACCATAAGAGGTGGAGGAGGAGGAGTTTACTCCACAATTGAGTGCTCGCGATTTATGCACCTTTCCATCACCTTACTTAAAACAGAAAGCAGTGCTATAGGCCTGTAGTTGTAAGGGTCGGTCTTAGATCCCTTTTTTGGGATGGGTTGGACATGAGCAAATTTACAGTTTTCTGGGAAGGTGCCAGATTCATAAGATATCTGGAAGAGACGCGAAAGAACTGGAGCAAGCTCCGCTGCACACCTCTTCACTACAATGGCAGGAATCAAGTCCGGACCAGAAGCTTTGTTGATGTCGAGCGACAAGAGCACTCGTCTTACGGTCTTATGCCCGCATAGTGTAGGAAACCCTTTGAATTGACGGCACTTGGGCGTTGGGGGGGACGTCCATGGTGGAGTTGGCAGCAAAGACCTTGTCCAGCACTTCCGCCTTGGTCTTTGAGTGGAATACAATAGTTCCATCCTGACACGTAAGTGGTGGAAGGCTACTGTGTGAGAAGTTCTTTTCAATATGCTTGGCCAGCGTCCAGAAAGAACGACTGCAATTGCGCTGCGACATTACCCTGTGCCTAACTTTTATATCGTGCTGGTTTTTGGCATTGCGCACTGCTTCTTTATATTTGTTTCTGGACTCAACGTCGGCTTGTCTGTTCTTTACAGTGGAGTTTTGTAAGAAGGTTCTGTGTGCATTGATCTTCTGCTGGTGAGCAGCGTCACACGATTTGTTAAACCAGCCGTTGGACCCTGGTCTAGGCACTTTCACTGTGTGAGGGATGTATTCCTCCATTCTGACGTGGATAATTTCGGTTATCGGAGAACAGACAGCCGACGCATCCGCGTCTGTGAAACAAACATCTTCCTAAGGAAAGCTAGAGAAGAAGTATCTGAGCCCCTCCCAGCCGGCATGTCCGTAATGCCAAGTTTTGCGGCCTGTATGAGTTTCTGCTGCCACAGCGGGTTATGAACGAAATCTAACCTCCACAACACCGTGGTCTGAATTACCCAGGGGGAACAGGACAGCAGTGCTGTAAGGGACAGGATGCGTGGTCAGAAAGAGATCAAGCAGGCTACTGGCGTGTGACGAGACGCGGGGAAAAAAGTAGGGCTCGTCACCAGCTGAGTCAGCCCTTGAGTAAGAGCGAACGCCTCGACTGCACGACCTGCTGCATCGGTCTTGTTTGAGCCCAACCAAAGCTTATTATGGGCATTGAAATCTCCGAGAAGAACTACCTCTGAAACGGGGTGATTGTTGTTCAGGAAGTCGATCTGGACGGCGAGGTATTCGAGTAGGTCATCCCAGTTATGATCCGAGGGAGAGCGATAAAGGCAGCTAATAAATTTGGGCGATGTTTTGGAGTTGAGACGAAGCCACAAAATGTCCTTCCGGTCTGATTCCTAAGAAACATCTCTGG